GGAGTAAGTGAGTTTAGGGAGGTGTGTATCTGAAGCCACGAGTGTTGTATGTTTGTGTGAATATCTGAAGAATAAGCCCGAAGAATCAAGTCCCCAAAACCAGCACAGCGATAGTTCAGAATATTGATGTATGTGTCACTGCTGTACTGTTTGTATTTTGTTGGATACCTGTGCAGACTTTATACAAGGCACTTCCATGATACAAAATACTTTGTGTCTTTATCAAACACTAAAGGTCTTTTAAAAACTGCCACCATCTCAGGTAGGCATTTAGTGGCATTTCTATTATTTTTTGCTGAACAGTGAAGAATATGTCTCTAAGTGATAGCTTGTTAAAATAAACCTAATTGTTTTTAGAAAACATTTCTGAGGCAGACAATGCTAATTGTATGTTTTTTCACATTACTATGCACTCTTTCAAATGCTGTATTACTACCACAGTCTTATTATACTATGCCAAACAAACAGTGGTTGTCTGTAAAATAGCARCTGTGCATCAAAGTAGCTGAATTATCAGCAGCATATGCTAAAATAAAAAAAGCTGTTTATGTTAAACTTTATTTGTATTATTGCAACAGCATGGGAAATGACATTAAAAGCATGTAGAAAGTAGATGGATGTKTTACAGCCATAAATAAAAACTAAGAGCTTTTAATTGTCTGTAATTTCGTTTAAGACATCTCAACCATGAATTCCACTTTTGATAAAAAATAAACAAACAAAAAACGCTGCTCTTGGACCAGCCCTTCTTTGCTAACAGCGGATTTATTTTTTCCACCTCAGACTTGTTTGGATCAGCTTTTTTTGATGTGTGTCAGGGACACAACCACCTGCTATCACCTGCATGCTGCATTATGATGGCGTGAATAAATCAGCCGCAGCTACCCCATCAGTCCCCTCGGTTAGCGAGGCTTCAGCATTAGCATTTGGCTGCGTGATTTATGCCAGGCTGCTCCCTAAAATGAGCTTTCACTCCCTGACTGCACCCTCTGCCTGCAGACGTGTCTGGCATCTCAGTGTCCTCATTATCTTCAAGGATGCCTTTGCATATTTTGTCATTGCCTCCGTTGGCTTTTCATCATTTCCCCCCATCATTTGTGTTCTGCTGATTCCTAAAACCAACGTRTGCTCCCCCTCTCTCTCCCTCTTCAAGCTTTGAATACTTCCCTTGTCAGTTGTTTACTCTGTTTGTATCCATTTCCTGCCTCTTTTGTAGTCACGTTGCTCTACAAGAGAATCAGTAAGGAAAACATCCTCTCCGAAGTAACACTCTRCTGCACACTTGACACAAGCAAATTGAAAATATACTCAGCACAGCAGAGTTTCTTCTCTCTTGTTCACAGGCACTTGCCGAAGTTAACCATCCCACATGAGCCAATTTCCTCAGGACCTGGCTGAACCAGGACTTACATCTGTTCTTGTTTTGAAAGGTGAGTTTGGATGGTTTTGAAAAATGTGCTGATTTAGCATTATAGTCTTGTACATTGAWAAACTCTGACAAAAACAAGAAGGAGCTGACTAAGACGATTTAAACTAATGTGTGGCTAGAAAAATAACAAATGGCAGCTGGTAATAACACATATGCAGCTGTAAAAATAGCCTATTTGCCACGGTCATTAATGACATATTTCTGGTAAAATTTTT